CTCCGATATTCTCAACACAGCACACCACACACGTATCGATTCTCTTTATATGAGGCTCAGGAATCTACATATCATCCCCCTCCACAGCCCTCTTCTCTAAACACACACACACACACACACACACAAACAAGTATAAGTGCTGGCTAGTGCTACCAATGCCAGCCGTGAGCTTGCTAGTTGCCAAGTGAGGTAGGGATTTGGAATAGCGTTTGATGGAACAGGGAGATTCAACTGTGTGGACGTATAGCTAGCAAGCTAGCTTTCTAGCTGGTTTAATGTTAGGTACTATGATTACACCACTGGCTGGAACAAGATTAGCTGTTAGCTAGCTAGCTAGCTGATAACTCCATGGCACTGGCAATTTCTTGCCAACTCTTGTCCTTGTCGTTCTTGTTGTGATACGACTTGGCGGAGACATTATATAAACACTCGTGGGTTTCCCACAGCTCTACGAGCTGGTCCTCCATTTCCGACGTCCACCTGACTTTGTGCTTTGGGTCGGCCATGCTTACTTCTTTATTTACTATGTCTGCTTCCGTGTTCCTCAGTCAGCTTGCTTCTTGATTGGCTACATTCCGTTTCACGTCACAATTCATGGAGTCAGGACTCTGGAGTCCTCGGCTTTCCCCACGTAAATATTGAACAAGTTTAATATTTACGATTGTCGGCCCCGACCCTTTTTCCGAGCAGATTATCGGGACAAATTGACTCTTAACACACCTCACACCACAGGATAATCTTATAGGATAATCTTATGAGACATAAGATAATCGGGCGTTTGCCATCCTTGGTCGGGAAGGGGGAAAATCGGGACAAAATCAGCCCGATTATCTTTATGTGTGTACCCCGCTTTAGGGGTTGCAAGGGATGTGGAGCCTATCCCAGCTGATTTTGGGTAAGAGGTGGGGTACACCCTGGACAGGTCACCAGACTATCACAGGTCTGACACATAAAGACAGCAAAACATTCATGCTCACATTCACACCTACAGGCAATTTAGAGTCATTTAGTGTCATTTAGAGTAATTTAGAATTTAGTGTCTTTGGACTGTGGGAGGAAGCCAGAGTACCTGGCTAAAACCCATGCTGACATAGGGAGAACATGCATACTCTGCACAGAGGGGCTTCACCCACTTGCTGTGAGTCAACAGTGCTAACTCCCCTCTTGTCAGTCTACAACAACTGAAGGAGTGTCTTGATTGAGTGTACAGCTTCGGTCCAGTGGATTATTCATTTTGTCTTGACATTGAATAGATGAGACCAGATTACACCATTGATCTGGCAATCGAAGTTTTCACCCATCAGATGCTTCATCTGTGAGCAGTGGAAGTGTAAGGGGCTGGCCCAGGAGTGTGTTTTTACAGCTGTTTCAGCTGAGCTTCTTTATTGCGTTACTGTGATCGAAGAGATGGGCTGAAATATCACTGAACTGGGAGGAAGCTGAGCTGTGGGCTTCTTTAAATGGGCTCAACAAACAGACAGAGGACATGAAGGCACGTGTTGCAGGGCTTACACACAAACCACACACACATAAATGCACACACAGAAAGCCTTGGCTGAGTGGTGGCGGGCTGAGGTCTTAGCTGATGCTGTGCTGAGGTCATGGATTTATTAGACAGAGACGCCACCGAGGAATCCCTTTGAGTCTGCCACATACACACACACACACACACACACACAGTCATGATCACAGACACACACCAACATAGACATCCATTCAGGCACATAGACAACAGATCATGGCTGACTGTTTTTTTCTACAGCATACACAGAACAGCCAGTCCAGCACAGATTAAATGAAGCTTTTAATTTAGTGTGGGTGGTGAGATGAGAATTAAGATGTTTGCATGGTAACCACCACAGCTCCACCCACAGAGCAGCTTTATCTCTTCCTCCAGAGTCACTGTGGTAGGAGAATCTATCCTCATAACAAGATGGATCCCTACTTAAAATATCAAATTACTCAGTACATTTCTTACAGAGCTTCCACACAGGGATGCTACAAAGGTGCCATATTGACCATTACAAGCAGTCAGCTGGGCTTTTGTCCACTAATGGCTTTATGTCATAACGGATCCCGCTTTGTTTCTCGTTGAGGCTTTATGAGCATGCAACCAAAGATGCATATATAAAAATGTATTATATTTTATTATATATTTTCAAACTGGTAGAAAAGATTTCTGCACACTGAGCTTTCGGTCTATCAGACCTTTATCAGAGCATACACGAGGCAACAATGGACAGGCAGGTAAAAGTAACCAATCTCAGTCTAATCACTGGTATGCAACACATCTATTCACAACCCTGCTCCACCCCCTGGCAGATGTAGTTTTCAAGTACTGAATGGAGAACTGTTAGGCATACATATGGAAGCCATACTTGTCTTGTCATACAAACTAGAATACAAAAAAGGGATGGAACACAGTGAATACAGGAAAACATATAGTTTTACAAAGCACTTTAAAACAGTATCAAACAATTACAATTTCATCACATAGTAAATAGGCCTTTGAGAGGCCATGATTAATCAGAGATCCCCAAATCTATAAAACACAATTCAAAACAGAGTGGAAGAAAGGGCTATGAAAGGGTATTAGGAGAGAACCATCATTAATCATAGACCCCAAATTCTATGTAAAATGGAAAAACACCTTAGATTACAGCATAACACTAATATCAAAATCATTATTAAAGCCTGTAGGCTGAAGTGCATCTAAAGGGTCAATCCAGAAAAGCTCCATTTGACATATCTTTCTTTCTGTATCTTCTCCCCTTGGCAATATACTATTTAGATAGATGTATAATAGAATAGATATGGAGAGAGAGTTGTAAATAATAAGGGGATAGTCAGCGTTGCGACACAGTTGTAGGGGATTTGAATGGTAAAACAAAAGGGGTGTAACAGTTCACAAAATTCACTGTTTAGTTTGATATAACACAGTGTCACGGTTCAGTATTGTATATGTTTTTGATACAGCAAAAAAGTAGAAATGCCAGAGAAATTTTCTTGATTTTAAAATTTTAAATGTATCAAAACTAACACAATTTGGGCTTTTTTTGTGTAAAGCAGGAATTATGGTCTGGCTCTTTCAGTCTGATAAATACATAAATAAACATCTCAGTTGAACACAAGCTAGACAGCTGCCACTAACGTGCCTTTCAGTCTCTCTGGCTGAATTGGCTGCCAGCAGTTACTGGCCACTGCTGTGGGTGTGCGCTTTGTGCTAATGTTTACTGCTGTTAGCTGCCGAATAAGAGGCTATAGGAACATAGGGGCTCTCATTTCCTGGTTCGGAGGATGTGTGTGCCGTGACTGTGAGTGCTGCTGGCTTAGCTGCTAAGGGGAGTTTGTGGCCATGCTTGGGCTTGTGCTTCGGCTCGGGGGTCGTGTATGTTAATTTGCTACTGGGTTAGTTGCTAAGGGGAGTCTGTGGCTGTGTGGTGGCTTGTTCTTTGGCTTAGTGTATTTTTATCCACCATTCTCTCTCACCGTTGCGCCTAGAATTCACAGCGAAACCAAAGTGGCTCCAAACACCAGACCTGTAGGTTATCAGTGAATCTTCTATTTCTGGTCTGGTAATGGTGTTACTAACCATCTTGCAATGAGCTAGCTGAGCATAGCTGCCTCCCAGTGTGTCTCACTGGAGTAGAATGTTCTGGTTTGGGGGGTGGGAGGGGGAGACAGCATGTTGCCTATTCCGTCGTGTGGGCTGTCTTGTTGAGAATATTATATTAAACACAGTTTAAACTGTAGATTTTATTTTCCAAATATAATAGGATAGTTCAATGTATTGCTCAGTTTGTAATGTGTACTGAACCAAAAGCCTCATATGGAACGGTTCAATGCAAATACATGTATTGTTACACCTCTATAAAACGCCCAACATGCTAAAGCACATTTTCAGCATCCCTCTCTTTCTCCCCACTGCTTTTAAGAGCCTTTAGATACAAAAGCAGAACTGGACACATTGCAGACATTGTCAGTGTGTGAATGGAAACACACTGAACAAAATAACGCACAGTACGACATCACCCAGATGTGCAGGTCACCAGTACCCTTTATAACGTAGCCTATACTGAAATGGAAAGACACAAAAATCTATTTTTTTTCTGTTGACACGCTGGTGGAAGTGGAGTGGCGTGGATCAGTGTGGACAATTTATTTTGGGTGGTAAACATTATGTGACAGTGTGAATGTAGTAATATTAATATTAATATTGTTACTTTATAAAATGAAACGTTACCCCCAATGCTGCTGGTTTCCCCTTTGACATTTAATTAGTGGGCTGAGAGGATCTTTTGGCCCTCACGGTGCTAATGCTGTAATAAATGCCACCTGATCATACGCACACAAACATAGGAAACATATGTTGAACCTGTACATGCCATATGTTTCAAATGTATTTACTATGTGCACAGTGCAGACAGTAATAGGAACACACACACACACACACACACACACACAGAGGGTTTGTGTTGTTCAAGCAGCTTGCATGGCCAATGCTCACGCTTCATTCTGTTGCTGTGATCTTGTGCTTTTGACTGTCAGTTTGCAGGAGTGTGTAGATATGGTGTGTGTGTGTGGGGGGGGGGGGGGGGATTAACCCTGTCAGCAGCCATCCCTCCCTCATCTATACCATCACACATTTTAAGGAAAACCAATAAGGGGTATGAGGAGCATATGTATGTAAGGGGCATATGTGCAGCAGTGGTCTCCAGTCATGTGCTGTTCAGTGTGCTGTTCAACTGGCCTGACTGAGAGTTTACAGGCTGTATGCAAAAGAGCAAATTATAACTATATCTGTCATATTTAGATAAATGTTAGGACATTTCAGCACATGGTTGCACATGAATGAAAACCATTTGTCCATGAATAAAACTGTCTGGTTTATGTGTGTGTGATTCACATATTCATCATAGCTTGGTGTGTTTTCAGAGTATGTCTGTATGATTGACACTGCGTGCATCTTCCTTCTCCTATCTGACCGTTCTCCTGTGGAGCAGGTGGAAACAGCGACAGTGTGTTTGACGTTGAGAAGGCTGTGGGCACCATTATCATCGCCAAGCCTCTGGATGCTGAACAGCGCTCCTTCTACAACCTAACGGTGCAGGCCACAGACAGCACCAACACTGCATACACACAGGTACAGCATCATCTCTATTTCATTAACCGTTCATTGTTTGATGGTTTACAGTTCTACCTTGGAACTGATTTTGGAGTAACTTCAAATTCTTATGCACCAACTGCCAGAGAGCAATATTATGTGCCCATGTGGGTTTGTAGAGGAGCGGAATTGGTGGCTTATACAGTGCCCTGCAGACATATTAACCCAATTTTGGTCCCTCATTCAAGAATGCTGATCAATTGAGAAAAAAGTTCTGCACGTTATCTCTAGGTTAACTAAATCAGCTACAGTGCACTGTTTGCACTCTCCCTGGTAGTGTTGTGTGTCACAGAGCTCCACATAAACACTTGCCAATGCAAGTTAACTCTGTGTTCAGGCAAGTGGAATGCCTCAAGTGAAAATAAATGTGATGTCCACTGTGATTATCTGAAAATAAACTTTGCACTGTAAAGCTGAGAACATCCAGCTGAGCTGCGTCTCACCATTAAGCGCTGAACGGGATTGATGAGAAAAATATGACATACTTGTTTTGGGATTCACTGGAACACAGATGATTTGTCATTTGTGTAGATCTTAACTGGTCATGTAAAAGTTTCTCCTTTGGGTCTTGCCATCTGTAATGGTGGCTTAGACCGCATGTTCTTTGTTCACCAAACATAGGACAGCACTCATCTGTCCACCAGTCCACCAGTCTTGAAACTTGTTGGACACTACTGCCATAGTGACAAGTGACCCTGTGATGTCACAAGCCAAAGTTTCTGCTCTCCATCAGGCTCTCTGCTGCTTTTTCTCCTGAGCCACTGATAGGCTCTCTACTCCTAAACCTATGAAGAGGTAAGACATCACACAGGAGGGCCTGGTACGCCCTTCCCCCGTTCTCTCACTCATGCTCAAAGCAGGAGCTGTGGCTTTGCTCTGAATGTGGCCTGCTCCCAGCAGACACAGATCCTGAAGACCAGAAGTTAGTGTGCCAAACACAAGGTGTTCAACTAACTTTCCAGGGACAAGGAGAGCCAAGTTGAGTTTGCACCCAAACGTCTAACTCTGCAAGGACACTGAGCAAGTCTCCTCGGATCTACACCTTTGGAACAAGGACACAGCAAGGACTGCATCTGGAACCACAGCTCTTTCCAGCCTATTACTACTGGCTAACAAAAGCACGCCACAGCATCTCTTTTTCCCTCCATCCATTCAAGGATTGGTAATGCAACAAGTGGGCATAGCATTATTACAGTTGTACAGGTTAAGCAAGACTGCTTAACTTTGTCAATTGTGATTTAATGCTGTTCATTGAGTTATTTTTGTAGTTAGGTGATGTTAGTTGCTTATGCTTTACACAGACAGAGTCTTGCATGCAACTTAACATCCTCTATACAGACCCAGACCTTTTGCAGCACATCGCATACACATACGCTCACTTACAGATTGGCTTTTAACATAACAACAACCCAAAGAGGAGACTTGCTTCATCTCCTTTGTCTTTGTCCTGACTGACCACATGGTCAGACAAAACCTTCCCCAATCTGAAGCCACCTCTGCTATGTCAAAAACTCCAAAATCCCTGAGCCTTTGCTGTTGATACTGTAATTTTGGTTATGGTTATTAATTTAGTTATTCATCAAAATTCCAAATTGATAGTTTAGTAAACTTTATAAGACTGATATCATCAACTGGCTATCATGTTTCCCTTTTTGAGAATGCTGCCCCACGAGGTGATTTAAGGTAAATTAAGTCACACTGTTTAACATTATTAATAATAATTATTAATAATAATTAATTATTTCTGATAGCCATTTTGATACTTTAATTGGAGATCTGTTACAAGATCAGGTCCCAACAAATGCTGCCCGGCATCAAGGCTTAGATCACAACACTGGACACTATAGAAGTTAACTTTGGGGTTGACAATGTCATGTACAACATAACATTACTATTGTAAAATATATCTGTAACACTGCATGCGAGAGAGAGACTTACTTTTTTTAGCCCAGAGGCTAACATTAGCCATCATGCCACTCCAACAAGGGCTTTCCTTTCAAAAGCTTTGTAAAGCAGCTTTGAACTGCAGTGTCTTTTTGGACACTGGACACACAGTAAAAAGAATCCATAATGTTAAATCCGAAACTGAATGTCTTCTGTGAATATCTATCTCTTTTTCTGATTAAAGAGTTGAACAATGTTTAACTTTTTGTAAAAAGCTGCATTTGTCATTGTCACCAGCTGTCCAATTATAGTGGAGAAGTGGCGTGACAAATATCACAAAGACCAGCCGTCATATCGGACAGCTACAACTGCTGAGCAACAGCTGTCATTTTAGGCTCAGAAAAGAAATGCTTTAGTGGACACACGCCCTTATTAAAGTAGCACCAGCTATTGTCCGACCAATGAGAACTGGGTCAGACTCAACCACAAGGTGGTAGCCCTACAAATCAAAAAAATGAGAAAATTGGGACACTCAACACCCTATTATTGGGGCTGCAGAGTGTTAAGAGCTCGCACCAGAAAATCGCGATCTTGCAATCGCAATAATTAACGCAACGAAAGTCCACAATATTTGCGGGGGCTTGCAATTTTTCAAAAGTCCCGCGATTTCTCTGCGTTTTTCCGCACGACCGGAAGTCGTCACGCATGCAACGTCATTTGAAACGTCATCAGATGCGTCATCAAATGCGCTAATGACATTGCAGTATGGAGAAACGCTCTGTATTGACATAAGAACTTGCACTGTTTAAATGCATGTGTTGAATGTATTAAAATGTGATTACAGATGTAGCTTACATGTTGTTTTACAGTCACATTGTGTGGTTTGAGAGCTACAATATTCACTCAGGATTTTTTGTCCATGTTTTGAAACTAATTAAATAAAACAAAAGAAGAGAACTATAAATAAACATTTGCAGCTATTTTTGTAACATTCAGTATGATTATTATAGCAAGTGATTACATGACTTATTTTTTTGGAGATAGTCATTTAAAAAAAAAAAAAGTTCTCATTTTGTCATTAGCCGCAATTTTTGTCATTTACCGCAATTTCCCACAAAAAATCACATAAAAATGCCGCAATTTTTATTGCTTTTTTTTGACAAAGATGGCTGCAAATTCAAGGTTTTTTTGCCGCGAGATCCTGGAGGGACTGACTGTATATTCTATAGGGATTATTTATGTTGTAGTTTTAGGAATATCCAACATCAAGGTTTTAGAAAATGCATCCATACAACACTTCAACTATCATAAGGATAACCAAGACAAGATACAAGAGCAGTCAGAAAATCATTCGAACACACTTTCCTGAGTGATATCACAATCCTGCCTACTATGTAGTGCGTATTAATTTGGCTGAATGTAGGCATTTGCCATAGAGATTGACAGTAGGCTCTGTTCTGAAACTATACATATAACATATAATATGCTCTCTGTTAATATTGTCTACACTATTCCATGTTTCTCCCTTCTAATGTGGACCCTCATGGGGATTAAGAAAAGGAGTTGAAAATATGTAATAGCGTAACAAGCAGAAAGGGTTCCTCAGATTAGTTTCAGTGCAACACATGGGCTCGTGTACTGTATGCTCACTTCCAGCTGCTGTCAAAAATACTGTTTCAGTAAAATCAGGAAAGAAGAATTTAGATTAGATTTTAAGATGGGTTGGATGGGATTGTTGGAAATAGGGTTACTGTGGGATATGAGAAGACACACTGTACATAGACACAAATACACAGACACACAAACACATGTTCACATACACAGCATATGATATTAGCATTTTTATAGAGCGTGAGCAATTGTTGTGACATGAGGAATGAGTGAGATGCCTATTACCAGCCTGCCCTTAATTGTATGTAACTGTATGTATCGTATGTGTAACTTTAAGTATCATATTTCCAGGCTGGTGTCTTCTAGAATGAAATTGGTTTCTTTTACAGAAATAGACTTTCCTTTCTGCTGCATTGTAAAACGATGCTTGTTGAGGCAACTTTTTATCAGTTTTTGACTATTGAGATATTTTATACGTGCACGCCTCTGCTGCAACTTTGAAGCCCCTGGACTCTTTTTCAATCTGCTTTAAGATTCATCACTGGAGAAAGTTATGACACCCATCACTGTGACCTGTATACTAAGTTTGGGTGGCCCTCTTTCAGTGTGAGACAGGAAAGACACTGGGTTTTATTTATTTATAAAGCTCTTACCGGTCTTTTACTTACTAACATTACCTCAACACTTTTGTGTAATGTGGGCTCTTATCAAACTCGGTCCAGTGATTGGATTACGCTGCAGGTGCCAGCTGTTTTTACCAAACTTGGAAAATCCAGTTTTTCATATTGTCCACCTGCAACGTGGAACAACATGCAGAACCATTTAAAGCTTTCCTCATTTTTATCCTTAGGACAATTTAAATCTTTAACTCTATCACATTTTACTTCTAGATGTTCCTGTTTTACCTGATTAATGGTTCTACATTTTTACTGTTTTTATTCATCATTGCTGCTTTTATTTCTTTCCTTTTACGTTTTTACTTGTGGCTTTTATTGTTTTTACTTTTTGTTGCCACTTTTATATAAGTTTCTCTTTGGCTTTTCTATGTCTAAGTGCTTTTATTTTTTTTACTCAGCTACATTGTAAATGAGATCTCTACCTCAGTGTATTTCCGAGTTAAAATAAAGGAAATAATAATAACTTATGATAATAATAATAATATTAACTTATAATAATAATTATAATTATAATAATAATGATTATAATAATAATTATAATTGTGTAATAATTGGTATCCCATGATCCCATGAAACCGTTATATTTTCTGAGATGGTTATAGTACCATGAAAATATCATTGCAACCCTAGTAATGGCATAGCAGCAAGAATATGTATTGCATTGTTGTGTTTGTATCACATTGTAAATTACATTAAAAAAAAGAGAGAGACAACCGCTTGCTCTGTATAATTAAATGTAGATCAAAACCCTGTGTGGGGTGCTCATGGAGAATGCAAAACAACAGGATACACAGGAAGGCAATCCAG